CGCCCCCCGCCCCTGCCTTCCCAGGCGTCAGCCCCGTCCCCGTCCCCCACACGTGGCCCCAAGCAACAGCCACACACACAACCCCTGGCCCCGGGCTCCAACCCCACACGCAGACCCGACACCCAACCACCCGTGCTGACCCACGGCCCCAAGCCCCAGCCCCACACACCGCCCCCAGCCCTACCCATGGCCTCAGGCCCCACCTTGACATGCAGACCTGCACCCCGAGTACCAACAGACTCGCCCCACAGCCCACGCTCATCCACCCCTACCCAGCACCCGCTGGGGGCTCAGACCAGCACCTCCCCAGGGCTGCCCCAGCCCCACACTCACCTCCCGGCACGCATCTCCTCACCAGGATGCCCTCGCCGTGGGTCAGCGGTGCCAGTGCGTGCTCCACCAGGTCAGCAGGGAGCCCTGTCGCCTGCAGCAGGGCCTCCACAGCCACCTCCTGCAGGAGGGCGTGGGAGGGGAATGGCCAGCCGAGACCCACCAGCCGCAGGCCCGGCCAAACAAGGGGGTCCTGTGCCCCAAACCCCGCTGGAGACCCCACCGGAAGGGAGGACACGGCCCTGCCACACTCCAGCATCCGCCGCCTCCCTCACCCCACCGCGGCCCCAGCTCCTACCTCGGCGCTGTTGAAGCACAGCAGGATGTACATCTGCAGCGTGGACACCTGGAGGACGCAGTCTCCAAACCGCAGTTCGGCATGGCCCAGCCATGTCCACTGCAACCGCCGCGGCTTCGCGCACTCCCAGCCCAGCTGGCTCCGGCCTGCCAGAGACACCGTCAGCGCAAGGGCCGGGGGCCACCCTGCCGGGCACCCCCAGCACAGCCCAGCACTCCTGCCGCTGCTGGCCGAGCCGCTATCAAGGACATGAGCCCTGGCGGGACCCCCAGGCACACCCACTGCCGCAACACTCACTCCGCCTGCAGAAGTCGGCAAACTCATCCAGGGGGGAGCTCAGCGCCGCCGAGAAAAACCTCCCAGGTTCGTCCATGTAGCAGAACGGGGAAACGGGCCAGCAGCGCGGGGACAGGGCCAGCACCTTCACCTCCGGCACATCCGCCACCGAGGCCGTCCCCAGTGCCTGGGCACGTGGAGACGAGGGCGGCTCAGGACAGGCCCCAGGGTTCCTGTGAGGAACACGGGCGGCCACCAGCCTCCCCATCCCACCAGCACACTCACCTCGTCCAGGCCGGTGTCCAGCTCCAGTAGCCGCTTGTCCTGCTCCTGCAGCTGGAAGAGGTGAAACTGCTGCTGGAGCTCCTCCGACTCGGCCAAGTTGCTCAGCATCTCTTGGGGGAAGCGGCTGGGGAAGCACAGCCCGATCTGCTCCACGATGGCTCCTTCCAGCCAAGACGGCCCTTGTGCCAGGAGCCGGTCCCCCAGGTAGAGCCTGCCACAGCCACCAGCATCAGGTCAGGGGCTGGCCCGAGCCCCGTGGCCATCAGCCAGCCCACCAGGAGACAGAAGACAGCCCCAGCCCTGGCCTCACCCAAAGGCACATGGCCCAGCAGCACCTGTCTCTCTTCCCTCTCACCAACCCAAAATGTGCCTCTGCAGACTGGCAGCACCTGTGGGCCCTCACAGCCTTTCCCTCCACACATCAGAGCCGGGTAAACCAAAGCGGGAGCACCGCTGCCACACCGGGCCAGGCTCATCCATGGCCTCAGCACTGCCTGCGCCTCCCCCACCACACCGCACCACGTCGCACCAGGCCCTCTGGTCCCGTGGAGACACGGCACCCCTCACCGGTAGAAGTGCTCGAAGGTGTGGGCGAGCTCCAGGCCACTGAAGACGACGAAGGGCTCCAAGATCTGCTGCAGCCGCTGCAGCGGCCCTGTGCTGCCCACAGCCCCGTGGAGCTCCTGGATCTGCCCATCAAGGTAGCGGGCAAACTGCTCGCTCACCTGCAGAGGGACAGAGCTGGCTGTGATGGACCGCAACAGCCCTGGGGGCAGCAGCTGGGAAACCCTGGGGCTCCTGGGCAGGGGCTGAGGGTGCCCAGGCACCAGCCCCAGGCAGGAGTGCACCAGGGCTGGGGCCACGCCGTGACAAGTGCCATGCGCCCGCAGTTGGGCACCGTCCAGGGCCACCGCAGGGCAGGGCTCCGTGGCCCAAGGGGGGCAACAGGACACCACCCACCCGCAGCTCACCCAAGGCCGTGGGCCAGGGCAGCCTCCCCAGCCTGCGCCCAGGGCTCCGGCGCTGGTGCCGCACTCCCTCGACTCACGTGCAGGGCGGTAAGGAAGGAGAGCTGCAGCAAAGCCCCCGCGAAGCCCTGGCCCAGGGCCACCACAAAGGCCGCCTGCTGCCCAAAGAGCTCCTCCGTGGCGCCGCGCAGGTGATGGTACAGCCCGCAGTATCGCTCCACAAGGTCCGGCGCCTGCCCTGCCACCTCCAGGAACCGCTGCACCTGCGGGACGCAGCACGAGAGCTGTGAGCCCCACAGCGGGACGTGCCACAAGAGGGGTGAGCGCCACAGGGGGATGTGCCCGTGGCCCACGGGGACAGCCCCAGGCTCACTCCGCTGACACCAACTCCCCGGGTCCCGGCCAGGGGCTGACTGGAGGCCCCGGTGCTGCCGTGGGCTACCGAGAACTTATGGCAAGGTGGGAGTGCAGCCGCGGGGGCTGGGCAGGGGCTGCGGGGACAGGACAGAAGCGCAGTACTGCCCAGCAGGAAATAAGCAGCCCGACACTGTACCTGCCGCCCGGCCCGCAGCACCAGCCTGGGCACAGGGTCAGGGTGATGGCTGAGCCCTCCAGGGTGGCAAGCGCGGCAGGGCTCCACCCACACCCCTCCAGTCCCCGCGGAGGCCAGGTACGGCCCCGTGCCCTCCCCACACTTCCAGGACGCCCCCTGCACCCATCCAGTGTGGGGTCCCACATGCCCGCTCTGATCCCCACAGTCAGCCCTCCAAGCTCTACCTGCTGCTGCACCACACCACGCCAGCACTGCGAGATGCCCCACAGGCCGCTTGACTTCTCCACCACCACTTTTGCAGCTCTGGCTGGGACCTCCTTGTTCTTCTCCTCCTTCCCACCTGCCAAGGGACAACTCCGGGCTCAGCGCGGCTCTGTGGGCAGGCTCCGTACACTGACCACCAGCAGCCTCCCCCTCTCTCTGGGGGGAACGGGGCAGAGGAGATGCCGGGGAGGAATGGCTGCTACGGCGGTACAGCCACGAGACTTCCATGACTCAGGAGCCTCTCGTGCCACAGGGCCCTCCCAAGCTCCCCAGCAGATCCCCACAGGCACAGCCTGGCACTCTGCACCACCGCCCCCCAGCCCCATGGGAGGGCAGCCCCTCACTCACCACCTGCTCTTGCCTCCTCTGGCTCTGGGCCACCGGGGTCCACGTGCACCAGGAGCTGGGTCAGGCGCCGCACACGGGAACCAAAGACAGCACCGCGGCTCGTGGGATGGTGGGGAGGCTCCACGCTCTCCAGGTACTCGCTCAGCAGCCAGGCCAGCGGGCTGACGCCATGGGGGTCTGCGAGGACAAACAGACTCAGAGCAGGGTCCCTCAGCCTGGGGCACAGCGCAGACAGAACCAGGAGAGCGCAGGGTACCTGGGCTGGTGATGCTCTGCACCAAGGGGTTCACCAGGGCCTCCCAGCATGTCCTGCCCAAGGCCCGGGCCGCCTCGTCGTCAGGAAGGAAGCGGTCAGCGAAGCCCTGCTCGTGCCGCAGCGCCCGGTTCAGCCTGCAACAGCGACCGGGCAGCACACACTGCTGCCGGGCACCCGCCCACGGCCGGGGGGTCTCCCCCGGGGACGCAGAGCGCAGCCGTCGCTCCCTGCCCTGCCCCTTGCCAGGCACCACGGCTCAGCAGCCCCACTCGCCCCCAGCAGACGGGGCCACTCGCTCGCCATGAGCCCTGCCCACACTGGGGCACTCACAGCCCCCGACAAACTGGGGGGCTCTGTGGCACCTGCGGCCATGAGATCCTGCCTGCATCTGACCGACCTCCACCAGGTCAGGACGTGCTGGTCCCTGCAGGGCATCGCTCTGGTGGGTTAGCTGTGCACCTGCGTGCCCAGCTTAAACCTGGAGGTCCCCAAGGTGGCCCTGGCACTCTGGGACCACTGGTGGCCAGGGAGGAGTGAGGGCCCCTCCCTGTCCAGGCAGGACACCCCGCTGCTCCTCTCCTGGCCCTGCAGTCCCCCCAGCCCCTGGGACACCAGGGACGCGACAGAGCAGCCGGGAGACAACTCACCTGCCAAAGAGCTGCAGCAGTCGCTCCCGGTCCCGGCAGATCTCCTGGCACCAGGCATGAGCCCGAGCAGTGCAGGAGAGGAACGTCCGCCGGCACAGCTGCTCCTTGAAGATGGGCCAGAAAGTGGGCTTGGGACCAAGCACCTCGATGCCACGCACACGTGTGTCAATGCCACCCTACGGGAAAGCACAACCCTCAGCTCCTCAGGCACAGCCCTCATGCCACACACTGCCAGCCCCCGGCCCGGCCCCTGCTCCCCTACCTGCTGGCACCGCTTCACCCGGATCTGGATAACGGGCCAGAAGCGGGTCATGTTCTCCAGCAGGATCACTCTGCTGTCCGAGGGCAGCACGGTCACCTGCAGGCACACAGAGAGCCCTCAGCACACCAGGCAGAGAGCGCCAGCCACCCTGCACGCCCCCCCCGTTAAAGCCAGGGCCTCTCTCACCCCAGCAGCCCCCACCCACCCCCACAGCACCCCCCGCCACGAGCCCCAGCCACCCTGCCCGCCCCCCCCCGTTAAAGCCATGGCCTCTTTCACCCCAGCAGCCCCCACGCAGCCACAGGGCACCCCCCGCCAGGGCCCACTGCTGGCTCACAGCCCCGGCACACCAGCCTGCCGCAGACCGGGCTGCAGGGCTGCCCCTGCCCAAGTCTCCAGCACCCGCTGCCTGCAGCCAGGAGGAGGCTCCCGCAGCACAGCTCCTGCCATCCCCACCTCCCCGTGGGGCACCTCCCAGGGCCCCTCACGGGGCACAGCAAGGACCAGCCCACCGCTCCCGTGGGGCCCCACGGCCTGAGCAGCCCCTGCGAGACTCACCGCGTTGAGCTCAGTTCTGATGGTGGCAGGGCTGTCTCCCCCCAGCACCACGACACGGGCCGGCATGTAGCTGGAGTCCTCGCTGGCCACCAGCATGCTCATCTCCCTGCAGCGCAGCAAACACGCTGCTGCCCAACAGTCCCCGCCTCCCTCGCCTGGCCCCTGCCAGCCCCACACGCTGCTGCCCACATCCAGCAACGCCCGCGACGGCGACCACTGGGGCAGAGCTCGCACAGATCCCCAGAGCCCTCTCCTCCCCGCACAGCCACGGGCACTCCTGGCCCCAGGGGCCCCCAGCCCTACCTGACCACCACACCACACTGCATGTGCACAGTGATGAAGTGGGAGCCGGTGCTGCCGTTCGACTCCCAGTAGGTCTTGGGGTTCCTGTCCGTGAGCTTGCTGGCACGGTGAGGGTTGGAGGAGACCTGCACCTTCTCCCAGCACTTGTCCTCCTTCACCTCCACGCTGGAGCCTGCGGGGAGAGCACGTGGAGCAGCTCCAGCTGCCAGGCCAGCACATGCCAGGGCCCAGCGCCCGCTCCCCACGCTCACCTCGGCACAGGTTGCGCAGAAAGACGTCAAAGAAGGGGATGCTGATGGGCTGGTGGCTCCGGCGGTGCTCCTCAATCTGCCCCAGGACCAGCTATGGGATGGAGTGCAGCTCTTACCGGGGGCCCTGGGTCCTCCTCCCCTCACCCACCGCAGGGCTGCGGCAGGCAGAGAGCAGAAGGCTGCCCCGCGGTGCCAGGGACAGTTGGACGGCCCCAAGACCCAGAGCCCCAGCACAGCCGGGTCTCCCCAGGCCCACCTGGATGCAGCCAGCCAAGATGCTGGTCGTCAGCTTCTTGTAGAGGCTGGCGTACTTCTCACAGTCGATCACCAGGTCGAGCAGGGCTGGCGCCAGCGACGGAGCCGTGCTGTGCTTGTCCAGGGCTTTGGACAGAGCCTCGCGGGTGCCCACGCGGCACATCACCACCGCGCAGTCCTTGCTGGCGGTGGCCAGGCGGTGCAGGAAGCCAACCACCTCCTGC